AAACAATATTCTACCAATATGCCGTCGAACTCGAACATACAATATTTCATAACCGCTTCAGAATTGACATGGGGAGAATGTTCAAATTGCTATATTGGTTATAATTGTTGGAAACAATATGTATACGATATCTTCCGCATGATATGGATAAAATGATATTAATCAAGATAGGTGAATATGATATTTCGAATATTGTTGAAACAATATTCAACCAATATGCCGTCGAACTCAAATATACAATATTGCACAACCGCTTCAGAATCAACATGGAGACCATATTCAAATTACGATATTGGTTATAAATGTAAGAAGCAAATTGTATACGATATCTTCCGCACGATATAGATAAAATGATATCAATCAAGATGGGTGAATATAATGTTTCAAATATTGTTAAAACAATATCCAACCGATATGCCGTTCAACTTGAACATACAATATTGCATAACCGCTTCAGAATCGACATGGAGAGAATGTTCAAATTGCAATATTGGTTGTAAATGTCGGGAACAATATGTATACGATGTTGTTGTATCGACATTCGTAAAACAATATTATATATCATTTATAGATATGTTTTTCAACACATTGTTAACGAATTTTACAACCTATATTGCTCCAATATTATAGCTGACAATCCATATTCAGCTCAGGTTGAACCAATATTCCACCAATATTATCATTCCAATATTGTTAGTCCAATATACTCTCATATTGGACCTATATCATTTTTCACATGTACGATATATCTGTATCGGCCCAATATGAAATCGGGTTCCAGCCAATATGATGTGCTACCTTGGACACACTTGGCAACTGGATGGAACTAGTTACTATGATCGATAAAACAGATTCTCTAGTTACCGATTGAGATAAGGCGGTTTATTTCAAACCTTTACTTTCAAAATTTGTATTTATCAGGAAAATTACAGAAAAAAATGGAAGAACTGTAAAAAAATATTTTATTCCATCCAAGACAAGAGAACTACATATTATGGAACAATAAGTAATTAAAACTCTGAAAAAAAAACAAAATAAGATATAAACTCTTCAGCCTAATAATGACTAGACATACAAAAAGAAAACAAACAAATATGATGAAAATAAATAATAATGATAATATAATATGCTTTTATTAACTGCAATGTATATACTCAATATTACAATTGTATAAATAGGCAGTTGCCCATAATATAGAAATAATGCAGTCAAAAGGCAGAGTTAACGCTTACACGTATACATGGGTAGTCCGAGTAAGCATTCTCTTCCACTCAACCTACAGTATCACAATGATATTATAATAATATTTTAAAAACTAATGAGGTGTACTAGAAGAAGAAAAAAAAAAAAGGAGAAAGGATTTTGACATCCAAATGAACACTGGTATGATATTATATAATACAATATTTTTATTATGAATTCAAAAATTAGTGGCATCTGTTGAAAGTATATTTTTGAGTTTCCTTTTGAATGACGGCAGCTCATTTCGTTTGATTTCATCGGGTATCCTATTGTAAAGCCTGGTTATCATGTAACTAAAAGATGACTGGTATAATGATGTAGAATGAAGAGGGGGTGTTAAGCGTGACTTAAACCGCACATTGAGGTGATGAACATCTGTTCGAAAGGTGATTTTATTATGAAGATATGCCGGTTTTCTGGTTAGTATAATTTTATGATACAAACTACAGGAGTGTAAAATAATCCTCTTTTGCATACTAAGCCAACCAATATCATTCAAATGTTCTGTGATGTGATCTCTTCTTCTCAGTCCACAAATTAGACGGACACAGGAGTTTTGAACTAGTTGCAGGCGTCGCAGATTATACTTTGATATGGCATGACCGTAAATGACATCTCCATAGTTGAGATGAGAGAGTACTAAAGCATCGCACAGAATTATTTTACACTTCTTATTCAAGATACTTCTATTGGAATAAATCAATTTTAAATTACAATATGCCCGTTTTATAATCATATTAATATGCTCGTTATACTTCAGTGAGGAATCCATAAGAAGACCTAAATTTTTTGTGCATTCTGTTGTTGGGATTAGTTCATCATTAATCCTAAATTCCAGTTCGTGGATAGTTCTTTCTCTCGCCTGCTTTTTACCGAAGATCATGACGAATGACTTAGAAGGATTGATACTGAGGCAAAACTTGTTGGAAATCGATAGGATTGAGTGCAAATCGGAGTTAATTTGGTCATTTGCAGTTAGAACTTCAGATTCGGGAAACGATAAATATAGTTGTGTGTCATCGGCGTAGAAATGACTGTTACAAAACTTCAACTCTTTATAAAATGCATGGGTATATAGTATGAATAAAGTTGGCCCCAAAATAGATCCCTGAGGCACCCCATTCTCCACTGCCAGAGGATCTGATTGATCATTATCCAGGAGTACCGTCTGATATCGGTGAGAAAGATAATTTTCTATAAGTGTAGTTGCACTATCAGTGAAACCTATGTGATGGAGAATAGTTAAAAGCAGTCTATGGTTTATTCTATCAAAAGCCTTAGAGTAATCTAGGAGAATCAATGCTGTTAGTTTATTATTATCTGTGGCGTTGAGGATATCATCCGTCACTTTAAGCAGAGCTGTGACACAGCTATGATTTGCTCTGAAACCAGACTGATGTGGTGGTACTATATTGTGAATTTCTAGATATGAGTTGATACGTGACAGAAGAATTTTCTCAAAGGCTTTCGAAAGGGTACTCAAGATACTTATCGGTCTAAGATCTTTGTGGTCCATTGGATTGGAGACTTTAGGAAATGGCAGTACATAGGAAGTTTTCCATATACTGGGGTATAGGCTATTTTCTATACAAAAATTGAAAATATGGCAAATTATCGGTAAGATAATCGGGCATGCACGAAGTATCATTTCCATGCTGATTTTATCTGCACCGACAGCTTTAGATTTGATAGATAAGATAGCTCTATAGATTTCAATTTGATCAGTAGGAGCAAACGTGAAATTTCCTACCATCGGATCGACATTATTCAAATAAGAACTGATGGTGTCTTCATCTGGAGGATGGGGTCCCTTGGATGTATCAATGAAGTATTTATTTATTTCACATGGATGTTTGAGGTGCTCTGGGATTTTGTGTGCAGTCTGGTTAGAACAGACATTCAAGTTTTTTGATGATGAACATTAATGATGAAAATTATAAATAAATGAATAACTAACTTTGAAAATAAAATTGTCCTGCTACATATGTTGCCTGGGTGTCAAATTCTGAGTCAGAAAACACAATATCGAAATTTGGAATAACCAATTCATTCAACTCATTGACAAGAACTGATGATGGCTCTGGCTCCACTGGGCAAGTTAAAAATGAATTGAGATTATCCAATATGGTACTCACATCGTTTTCACAATTTTTGTTGGCATTTTTAGGTCTTATCAAGCTATTCAACACTTGCCTGCACACTTGTATTTATATGCACCGGGGCCTGACATCTCACCACACTTTTACATCTGTGATATTCTTTTAATCTGGAATATCACTGAAATAATACATAAAACTGAAATCAGTTAACATGCGTTCTTTGGAAATACCTACTTCAATTCGATAAAATGTATGTTTAATTCAGTTCAGTTCAAGTGAATAATTTCGGTTAGTTCAGAATGAAAGAATATCACTTATGTTTCTAGAAAAATGTACCTACGTGCAACCTACATAAATGTTATCAATTTCACCTTGTCAATAATAGAAATAAACTCGGAATAAAGTAAAATAAATGTGAAAGAAATGTGAAAGAGAAACTCGAATTTCAGCGAATTTCAGTATCAACATCAACTCGGAAAATAAACAATATCTGTTGTATTCCATAGGTCTGTTCCTTTGTTCTAAAATGTAACTTGCTGAAGTTGACGTTTTTCCATAGTTGTCTCTGTTCATAGCATGATATAAACAGAGATAGTCATAGAAAAAAAATTAAGTTTAGCAAGTAGAGCGAACACAAACGAACAGGCCTTATACTGTCGTGCTGTCGAATGTTGAAATCCGAAATGTTTCATGTCATGAGTCGTTTGTCGATTGCGAACAGCGCCTCCATGCGCGACTGGGCTGCGCACAAACTTGATGGTCAAAATTTCCTATGTTTTGAACAGTCTCTTTATTTTTGGTTTGTCTATGGAATGGTCGCACTGATTTGATAGTTGCTGAGTTGCACCGTATATGAAAAGATCTTTGACGATATGGGTGAATTGATTAGTTGGTTCATTGATGAAGTGGGTGGTTGAGTGGGTTAGTCGATCAATTGAGTAGTGAGTTAGTCATTGGTGAGGAGAAACAGGTGCATTGATTAATTGGGTGAATTGTTACTTGGATGATGAAATAAATTGGTGTCATTTGTCACTGTCATTTTGTCAATGTCATTCTGTCATTGTCTGTTGCTACGCCCATTCCCTGACTTTTGTCATTCACTAACTGTCATTCTGAGGTGAAGGTCGTTTGAGTGAATTATACTCTATGACTCCACGACTTCCTCGAAAATGTTTTTTTGATAATGTGATTTCCACATGGCCTTATAGGTATGTTTTCCTCAGCAACTTACTGTTCCTCTATAATTCCACATATTTACACAGGTACTGTACTACTGTGTCTTAAGATGGCTGTTTGAGCCGAAACTAGTCACAATACATTTTGTGTAATATAATTTTTGTGGTCGACGACTAGTTTAATTTTTGTTTTTCTATAAAAAATTTGGACCACTTTGATAAGGATGGATGGTTTTCATGACTCAAATTGGGGTGTTGATTAGTGAGTTGATGATAAGTGGAGTCCTTGATGAATATGAATATTTCGTTGAGTTAGGCTACATCGTTTCCGCTATGACTTAAAGTGTCGGCAGACTTTCGAATATTGATACTTTTTTTATTCAATCACCTTGTCAAATCGTAACCTTATATTGTTGAAACTCGTTTTTCATCCTGTATTAGAGATCTCCATGAGAAATGGTTGATTTAATTCATTATTTTTCAGGAATTGAGTGTGGTGATTAAATATGGAGTGACAACTTTGAAAGATGATTGCAAACCTCTCATCAGTAATGTATTGCAATTACTAGTTACCATTTATAGAGAATGTCCTCAAGCCAATATTTTGATAGTGGCAAAAACAGTGAGTCATCTTACTTCATAATATTTACAATACTATTTATTCATACTCATTCAGGTTTTGATAATGTTTGGCAGAGACGACGAATTCTTAACGTTGAATCAAGAATTACTACGAGAAATAGTTGGTACGACTCTTCAAATGTGTACTCAATATGGTAGTTGCAGTGAATTGTCATCAAAATCAGATGTTTTGGAAGGATTTTTCTCATTGCTTGCTACGCTAGCAAAAAAGGTGCCACATATCATTTCTGGAAGTGGTATAGATGTTTCTGCTATATTTCAATGTGGTAAGTCAGATGCAACAAAAAATCAACCATTTCTATTTGAGAATGCATATATGTTCATTGTTGGATTCATACTCTGTAGATTCAGCAGTGTATATTACATGTCAAATTATCTCTGAAATGAATCATTTCTTCGAAATTACATGGGACAAAGAATGAAGAATTTCTGGATGAATGATCAATAATAATAACTGGGAAGCGACTTGAAGTACTGAAAAACAATCAAGGATTTTATCCTTCCGATTCTGATCCATCCTGTAATTACAAAAAGGAGATCTAAAATTTGTTGAGTCGATTACACACACTGGCACAATTAGGGGAACGGGCAGAATTTACACTAAGTTAAATATCAATTTTCTCTCGAACCCATCACTCGACTTAATTCTTTTCTCAAAAATTGTAGCTTCATTCTTCGCCAATACATCTGAGAAATGATCACCTTCAAACGATTCGTCTTTATATCATATACAGGGGTGTAAAGAAAGTACGGATTTATCGGTATTTTTTAAGACATACTGTGGAGTGAACCATTGATAATTGAAACGGTTTTTCAACATCAAATTGCAGCCCAATCTATTCCGAATATTCTAATATTTTATTCATTCTGATATATCAAATATAAGAAAATACAGAGTTTCAAAGAAAGGGTGGATAGGTATTGGTATTAATTTTACCACATCGAAACTCGAACTGGGGATGAGAACGTGTCGTTTTTCAATTTGTTCCTGTAAGAATTCTTACTTCAAGATGAAAATTGTTCACAGTTATACCTATAGTTTTACTGTTTGAAGACACATATACGAATACTCTTATGAATATGCAGGGGTAATAAAAGTTACTCCAATGTTCTTTTGGTGGAATGCTATTTTTGTTATTCAACGTTGCCTATTTTGTTTAGATCTTCAATTATCGTCAAAGTTAAGCGATTCACAATTCAAAAATTTGAATAATGAAAATTCAATATGGGAGGGAGATTTGACTCCTACTGATGTGGCGAGGGCTGTAGGGTTCTGGAGGAGGGTAAATGTTCAATAGTCATATGTATATAATATATTATATAATTCAGATATATTGATAAGTGTATACTAGTAACGTTCTTTTGTTCTGAATTCTTCGACTGAACTGAGTAAAGTGAAACTTCATGTGATTTCTGTACCATTGTCCAGCTATCATGTTTCAGGCGAAAGAAAAGTCTCATGTCAGTCTGTCCGCTTCTCCAAAGATCTTGGGGTTATTATGAATTCCATTTAATATTTTTAATTCGGAAGTATTGAGAAGTGTGAAATATCCCATATTGTCTATCTTCTCATTTATATTTTGGCAGACGAACATGACTGATAGAATTTGGCAACCGAACAATGTGATGAAGGGAATCTCGGTTCAACCTGTTCACTGATTGATTTCAGTTCGTGTGAAATATATAATAATAATAATAATAATAATATTGAAAACAGGGGGTCATGGGTACTGAACTCTCCTCATGTGTCATTATTCTCAAAATACCTGTCTCGTTATCTCAAACCACTATACAAAATTGGAAATCTATACCGGGTGGCTACGGAAGTATTGCCTACGGAATATCTCAGTTATTGTATGAAGTAGGTTTGTGAAATTTGGAGCGTTAATATAATTCAATTCCCTTTCTAATGACATATCACAAGTTGGTATCTAACCAGAAACTAGATCAGAAAAAAATTATTATTGAAATTCACCGAGTAGGCCGTGGAAGCAAAATGAAAGCCAAAAAATGACTTTTTATTAAATCATTAGAAAGGAATGGTTATGCTGAATAGTACAGGCGAGAAAAAGTTGTATGTTCCTATTTAAGTTATGGACCTACAGAGTATTGTTTTTTTCCCAATTTTTCCAATATTTTTTTTGGCGGCTTTTTATAACGCCGACAAATGAAAATAAAATATCACAGTAGTAGCAACTGTTATCAAGTGACGTATGGTTTCCATAGCCAACTTTTCAATTTTTGGCTTTCATTCTGCTTCCACGGCCTACTCGGTGAATTTCAATAATAATTTTTTTCTGATCTAGTTTCTGGTTGGATACCAACTCGTGATAGGTCATCAGAAAGGGAATTGAATGCTGAATGAAGCGAAAAGAGAAAAAAATAGGGTTTCCATTTAAAATAAGAAAGTTGATGTTACTTCCGGTCAGACCGGAAGTTAACTTCGACATGTCAATATGCTCAAATTTTAGCTCTTATGTCATTATATCGACGGTCCAGATTTCACAAACCTACTTCATACAATAACTGAGATATTCCGTAGGCAATACTTTCGTAGCCACCCGGTATACAGGCTGATTTACTGTGGAGAGCACATTTGACGTTTCTGGTGAACCAGACACCGGATCATTTTGCCAGATTATTTGGGATTTTCTCTCCTGGTTTCTATGAAATAAAAATTTCAGTATTATTTCAATATACATGTAGAAGGACAAATCAGATTATTTGCCCCAATATGATATCCCAATTAATCCGACAAATAAAAATTTTTCGACAATGCGGTGTTTCCACTTTTATTAGAAAGTAATAGCACCTTTGATATTCCAAATGGAACACCCTGTATTTCATTGCACTGTACTAGACGAATACTGTAATCATTGATACACAATTTTTTTATAGCTATTTTGTGCCTAGTGCTACCAGAAATTCAAACATTGAAAGCAGTTTCTAGCTTCTTGGTGCATTTCATATCTCAGAGTAGAGATACATCTCAGGCTGAAGTAGTACAATCATATGGAGAAAGTCTGGTTCTGAGGATACTCATGAATTTAGGTAAATGCCAGATATACTTTTGAAATGATTCAATATATACTTGCACCCTGTGCATTTAAGTAGAACCTATCTTTGAACGTTGATTGCTCCTTGTACATCCCATTTCAATTTCAGGAAGTACAGCTCCGAGGTCTTCTGTAGATGTTTTTAGTGATATATTTTTAGCATTAAATAAAAAGTACTGTGATAGTTTAAGTAGATGGTTGAACTCCTTACTGGTACAAGAAGGGTTTCCATCGCCCAGAATAAGTAGCCAGCAGAAAGACGCTTTCGTGAAATCAGTTTTGAAGTAAGCATAAAATATGCGTATATGCACAGTTTATAGACCGAGAGGTGGGTGACAAAATAGTGCAACAGTTTTCTAAAGGCTGAGAATTTGTTGTATCAAGGGGGTAAAGCAATAGCATACCGTCAGTAAGCCAGTTTCGTTAGCGATTAGCGTAGGGTCGGCATGAAAGTTGTTGAAAAACTTATCAGAATTCAATCGCAGATTAAGAACACCAATTCCTACCTTATGTTCCTTGGTTCTCACGATGTTCTCTAAACATTACAGGATATCCTTTTTCCTGGGAAACAGAACTTGAAAAAAGGCTATTGCCATACACCCTAAATGCTACATAAATTCCAGCCAGACAACTGTTGCATTGTTTTGCCACTCACCTCTCCGCCTATTATTACAGTTTCTGAGACAAGTTTGCATGGGCGCTGTCAGCATTACTCTCAGGGAGGTGCATCTGCATATACACACTATAATACTAACGAATACAATTCTAATTACGGATATTCATAGAAGCTTGAGTTGCGAATGAAAGAATAACTTAATTGAAAAATATTCTTCTCTTCTAAGATTTTTCTTTCCAGACAGGGGGTTGCAAGTGCACCCCTTTCACCCTGCTGTCGGCGCCCATGCAAGTTTATCAAATTCATCAAAACTATGTAAAAACTCCACAAACGACAAGATTTCCACAAAATTTTCAAATACGACATGTTTCGCTAACACAGTATACTGGTACAATGAACTAAACTAACCTTGGCTTGCTTAACTTTTCAAAACTTGAGAAACTTTTCAAAAGTATAGCAAGCCAAGATTAGTTTAGTTCATTGTACCAGTATATCACCTGACGAAGCTACTGTGTTAGCGAAACATGTCGTGTGTTTGAGAATTTTATGGAAATCTTATCGTTTGTGCATTTTTTACATTTGCCATGAATTTTCATCAAGTAACGGCCGAGTCAATCCAAAATCTATCAAAACTTATGTATTTTTTCAGGGAAAAAGCCAACAAGAGAAAACTGTGTGATACTGTTTTAGAATTCACTTTGATTTGCCGAGGTATTTTGAAACCAGAGTCAAATTAGCGTTTATTGGTAAGTACATTTCAACGAAGATTAAAAACATTAGGACGCTATAAAGCCAAAGGTTCTAATGAATAAGGTATTTGATGGAAATCAAGATATTCTAGACCAATACTTATTTCATCAATATTTTGAAATATTTTTGAAAAAAGTTGCAGTAAATGAATCATTAATACCTCATATGAGAAAGCATGTTAATGTTTATTTGAAAAATGATCATAATTTGGTCACTCTATATACAACACTGATAGTGATATTCAAGATAAAACTACTACTTCGCCTAAAACGGAATAGTTAATGATGCCTGTTGAATATACGAAAATATCTGATTCATCTGATGTTTCACCAATCTTTGAATTCTTGCATGATCTGACCAGTCACAACCCAAAGGCACCTTGTATTATCTCGAAAACACTAGTTGACTCTCCATTCTGGTTGGTCTATCAGTCTTGGTGTTTTCAACGATACAATCATGGATGGCAAAGCAAATTTTGACAATTTGACAAACAAAAGTAGCTCTGGACTCTAGAAAGAGTCGCTTTGGTGTTTTGATGTTTATAATATATGCTTTTTGTATTTTGTCAACCTCTACAGAAGAATCACAATCCACGTTCTAATTTCCGAAGGAAAACCCGACTATTTTCGAAGGCAAGTACTCTTCGTCCGCTGCAGGGTTGCCAGTTCTACTGAATTTTAGTAGATCTCCAGATATGCATATTGATCTACTGATCTACTGAAACATTTCATAATCTTCAATTAAGCTTCAGTTGATTATGTACACTTATAAATTGCATGATATTTCGGCAATCTCTGTTCAATTTTTTTTCACGAAATAATAGATGTGCATATAAGTACTAATGATATGTATGAACCAAAAAAAAATACTTTTTTTTTTTTTTTTTTTTTTTTTAACGATTGGAGCGCACGAAAGGGAATCCCTATAATGTTCAAAGAACATCGTGCGTTCCTAAGGAGGATAGGGACAGGAGGTAGGTATTGGAATTTTTTTTGAATTTTTGGAGATTATATGTTGTTGGGAATACTTCCACAGGCAATGAATTCCAGAGCCTAGCCGTTCTATGGATGAAGGAATCTTGATAAAGTGCTGTTCGACATCTTTCGAGGTTGACAACGAAAGGATGTGCTGACTGGGCTTGTCTAGTTCGTCTGATTGGTATTGCTAGTGAAGGGATGATTGCAGAGATTTCCGAAGAACATTTCCCGTGGAAGTATCGATAGAAAAGTGAAAGGTCGCCGACCTTTCTACGGTGTTCCAATGATGTCAAAGAGTGAGTGAGTGTGGCGTCACCCACCAGGCGAATGGCTCTTCTCTGGATGGAATCTAAGAGCATCAGCGTATGTTTTGGTGCTGAACCCCATATGTGGGAACAGTATTCTAGAACAGGCCGTATCTGCGCTTTGTAGATCATGAGAAGCTGTTGAGGTGTAAAGTAGCTTTTCGCACGGAACAAGAATCCGAGTTTTTGTGAAGCAGCTTTTGCGATGGATCATCTTGATCTACTGAAACATTGCATAATCTTCAATCAAGCTTTAGTTAATTATATACACTTATAGATTGCATGATATTTCGGCAATCTCTGTTCAATTTTTTTTCACGAAATAATAGATGTGCATATAGGTACTAATTATATGTATGAACCAAAAGAGACAATACTTCATCTGGTTCAGATTAATTTCAATTTTTTATATACCTCTGTTATAACAGTTTATTCTCACGTTTAATTTGTTCATTGTATACACTGTATATATATAGTAGCTATAGGTGAGCAGAAATAAATAAAAAATAAAAAATATGTAATGTAGATACGCGCATAGCTCAGAAGGACTGCAGAAAAAATGTCTCATTTTTTTTCAAATGGGTACTCCAGCCGTGCCGAGCCGAGCAGGACAGCTAGCATGATATTATTCTATTATATTCAATTCAAAATGTTCATTTCTGCGGTTTAGAATGATCGAATTCTGGCAGGTTTCCACTTTTGGTCTTAGTAAACTGCCTTTATCAATTATGTTCAGATCTACACCACCCATGGAATGGTTAAATAACTTTATTATTTCTGGACGTGTTACCGTCACATATTCCTTCCTGCTCTTGTCCTATCTCGAAACTTCATCGATGTTCCCAGATCCAACAAAATTTGAGGCTAAACAACACTTCGGTTGTCTAGTCACTTCACCAAAACAATATCTTTATATTCACTAGTTACTTCGTCATGAGCTCCCCTTGCTATTCCTTTCAATTCCTTGTCACCTGATACAGGAAGATTCGGAAACCGGTTCATTCTTAATCACATATTGTTTTATCGATATGTTTCTTCTGAAGGGAACCATTTTCTCATCAATGAATACATTTTCCTCTAAGTCCAATTCGAGGCAGCGTTTTCCAACAGCTTCGTATAAGGGGCGAACTTTGTGTAGTCTGTCACTAAAATTTTCTGGCATTTCTTAATTATTTACACAGTGTACATTAATTTGGAGTTGGCAAAACCCTTGAAATTTTTTCGTGAAAAAGATTAATTCGTAACCCTGTGTTCCAAAAAAATCGAATTCTTGGGAATTTAGGAGTTCCATCTGCAATATGTAATCCAAACAAACTTTATATTTCAGTAGCATCTGTTGGTTCGAAATCAGCATTATTCTGAAGAGCATATACGCTCCCAAAGTTTGACCACCTATTTTAGAATCACCTTGTATATTTGTGAACTCAGCAATATCGTCAAATTCGGTTTCACCAATATATCTCAAAATATTTCGAAGGGCTAAGAACTTTCGGATGGACGTCTTACTTCTCCTTCTCTACCCAAACAATTTCAGGTATTTCGAAAACTTGCCTGCACCACTTCACCGGAGCTTTTGCAGTCACTTCAACTGTCTTGCTACCAGCAAGAATTGATAGTGGTATGTCATCTTGTCCATCTGAATCTGGTTCTACTATCTCTCTTGTCTGTGGTCCGATCTCATCAGCACCAACTCGAACTTCTCCTATTCCATAAATCGGAAATTCGTTATATATATTTCCTCCTTCGTCATCGCTCAAATCAATATCCGAGTCTGATGAACTTTCAAATATTTTCAACAATTCTTCGGCATCTTCCTCATTCTGCGGATTATATCGTCGTTCTAAAACACAGAAAAAATACGTCTACTCAAAAAAGTTTCAAAAACAAATATCGGTTGTTGAAAAGTTGCAATTTCATGAAATAAAAAACCACTACCAATTTCAAAATAATCGAAAGAAAAGTCGATTGATACCAATTGGACATGATTATGAACATTGAAAAATCATCTGTCATATGAACGAAACAATGCCACAAAATAATAATTTTTTTGTTCTAAATTACTTATCATTTACTGATATTTCAACTGTAACATACAATTTTCCTAATGACATAAAGTAAAGTAGTCAATATTTGATTAATATGAAGTACTCACGGCAGCTGTGTTTTCTAGTCGACGCCATTTTGTGTGTGCATAATTATGACCCAAGGGTCTGAAGGGGTTAAAATGAGATTTTCTCTAGAACGGTACAAGATACTGGTAAAAATAAAAATGTGTCCCATCTTGTATGAAACGTCATCACTGAACAGCCGTTTTCATATTGAAATGGGCACTAGTAGGGTAAACTGTCCCACTTGTGTTTATAATGAACACCAATGATATAGTTTCCATTCAAAATAAATCAATTTATTTTTTCTCACTGCCTTATTGTGTCGGCAACAAAAGCCCAGTCAGGGTTATCGTTTCAATCTAAAAAGTGAATTATAATGATTTTTTCAAAAAAACTCGTCCATTGGTTCACTGTATACCGTCTTATGAGAACAGTTTACCATTGAAAAAACAAGATGAATACATCAAAACAATACAAACACTGAAAAATATTTGACAGTTAAATAAACGTTGTGAGATAAATGGAAGAATAATTCGCTACTTCAATAGATGTTTACTAGATGAGTATTATAGTAAACAGTGAACCAGTCAATACACATGGAATCATGGTTCACTGTGTTCTGGTTCACTGTTGAATTCTAACAAATATGAAGAATGAATTATCATTAACAAAATAATCTTGAGACTTATCATTATTATCACAAAAATGATGAAAGCAGGAGCCAGAGGCTCATTATGCTCAGAAAAACAAATAATCCAACATTTTGTGCCGTCAGCAAATTTTTTTTTCATGTTCTTTGCCCAGTGGGCACTTTCGGCAAGTGTCCAACGATCTGTTTCTGTGTTATGACCGAAAATTTGGCTACTTGTCTATTCGGCGAAATGTCCGGATCTCTCTCAAAATCAACAGTATATATTTGAAATTTACAAAAAAGACGATATTTGAACTTTGAGTTTTGTGAAGTTAGTTTGGTTTAAAACCCTGTTTTGAAGCTTGCATTCGACTGACATTTGACAAATAGAAACAATGATCAACGTACACGAATGCGTGTAAAAAGGGAAATTGACAGGAAATTTCAAAACTCTGTGTAAAAAATTGTAAAATTTTTATATCACTACTTCGTAGTTGGAAACCATCTTCCCAAAAGTCTAAACTTGCAGAATTAGAAAAAGTGGGACCTACAGATCATAGTGGATTTTTAACCACTGCTAGGGCGCAGAGGTGATGCCAGGGTTAAAACTAAGAACCACACATTTTTTTGAATAATACTCAGCCGAGTCGGATTTGAATCGACAGCACCTTGGTATCATTAACGTTTCGGATAGCTCGGACACCGTGCTCATGAATTATGCATTATTAGATACCTTGAATAGGTCGCGGCAACTTCATTCATCAATGATCGACGAAGATATAGGAAAACAAGTCTTCAGATACACAAATAACTTGTTGAATGTTTCAGGTCAACAGAAGCCCTTCAACCTTCCGCAAATCCATCGAGCTGGCTTGCTGTTCTTGCGAGTATATGTTCGAAGACTTCCTTTCAAAATATGATAACGCTGCTATCATATTCTCGAGGTGGAAAATACATTTGTTGTGA